TGTGCTCTCTCTCTCTCTGTCAAATAAATAAATAAAATCTTTAAAAAAAAAAAAAAGAAATTTCAAATTTTGCACATTCAAATTTTTATACCTCTCCTCATTCCTCCTGCCTTATTTCTCTTCCTTCTCCACTTTCTCCATGTTCCCTTTCTCACTAGGTCACACAGTCACTTGGACAGGTTCTGAGACAGTTACCTGTGAGTCATGTCTAACTCTTTCAATTCTGTCACAGACCAGTACAAATCAGTGACCACTATCTTCAGTTTCCTGCATAATAGATGATGAATGCTTAAGTTGATTATTAACTCAATAATCGACATCTTACAGGATATTTCTACGATGGTTTGTTTTCCCTCACAATGTAATATAAGATTAGGTAAATATGAAGACTTGATATACAGTTTGTAGTGAACTCTGATCCCTGAATTCACGATGTACATGAGTTCTTACATATTTTGACCACTACATTGAAGTTTGATGACTTCATACTAATTAGGATTGGTTTTTACAGGAAACAGTGACATTTAAGGATGTTGCTGTGGACCTCACCCAGGAGGAATGGCAGCAAATGAAACCTGCTCAGAGGAACTTGTACCGGGATGTGATGCTAGAAAACTACAGCAACCTAGTCACAGTGGGTAAGGCTAGCTTTGCAATTTTTCATGGAATTCCTTTCCATTTTTGAAGTGTATGAGGACTTTAACTTGCCAGATGAATTTAGTCTGCCTTGTCTTCACATGATTGTATGTACTCATCTTCAGGGTAAAGCCTGATTCCTTTGTCTCACTTTAAAAATTCCTTTGTCCTCATCCTTCATAGGCCCTCAAGCCCCTAAGACTCAGCCCAAGGTGTGGATGGTGGTATCCAGCATTAACATCCAAGTCCTTTGCTGTTTCCTGTAATAGGTTATCAAGTCACCAAACCAGATGTGATCTTCAAGTTGGAGCAGGAAGAGGAGCCATGGGTGGTAGAGGAAGAAATGCTTGGGAGGCACTGTCCAGGTGAATAAGTAAAAAGGCAGCTCTGAATGAGAAAGCCACATGACAGTTGTTCATGTGGTTGATACCATTTCACATTTTCCAAGATTTTCTTAAATGCCCTAGTGTTCTAGGGTGACAAATAGTATGAATGGATTGGATTACTTTGACATTTCCAGATACTATTTTCTTCCTATACTGGAGCTGTCTTCCTTTTCCAAATTTTAGAGGGCTGGTAGTTCCATCAGATTTCAGGATGCCAACCTTCTCTAATTCATTTATGGCCTCAGTTTCAGGATTATTGTCCCTCTCTATGATCTTTAAGCTCTCTTTTTCCTTAGTGTTCATAGTTTTAGTTCTAATTCCTTATGTATTCAGCATTTCATGGATGTGTAGTATTTTAAAAGTATATTTGTTTCACACTTAGATTCCTTTCAATTTCTTTCCATTTTGAAAAGCTATAGACAGGGCGCCTGGGTGGCTCAGTTGGTTAAGCGACTGCCTTCGGCTCAGGTCATGATCCTGGAGTCCCGGGATCGAGTCCCACATCGGGCTCCC